ACACACACACACACACACACACACTGTGGTGGATACTCCTAATAAACAACCAAAGGATCCATTATTGAGATCAGTGCATGTCCATGTGATCCCTGCGAGCCAAAAGATCTGTAAATGCTAAGTTTGAATTTATTTCTACTCTTTGATCTGCAAGATGTCCTTAACATGATGATCTCAGGGACACAGCAACTCCACCCGTCTGCTGTTCAAAGCCTTTTGGTTTTGAGGGGCAGCCAGAAGAAAGTTGGCTTGAGGGGAGGGAAGGAACTGCACCAAAGCTGAGTATAACAATTATTTAGAACTGTGAATTATGCAAAGCTACTGTAGTAAAGTCCAAAACTGAAAATGGGGAGGTAGAAAAGAACACAATAGGCCTCATTCAAGGCAAACTCAAGTGGTTATATTGTTATGGTTGTTAAATTACCAATTAGATATTGGATTAGATACTTACCAGGACTTTAAGTACATCATTCCAACTGTATATTAACACCAATATCTAATTGGTTAATCACATAGACAAGTTCAAACAGAATCAGAATGAGGTGATTTAGGTAATGCTGAACATGTCATTGTTGTTGGTGCCAGACGTGCTGGGCTGAGTATTTCAGAAACTGGCGATCTGCTGGGATTTTCCCCAAAAACCATCTCTAAGTTTTACAGAGATTGGTCTGAAAAGGAGAAAATACCCAGTGAGCAGTAGTCCTCTGGGAGAAAATGCCTTGTTAATGGCAGAGGTCAGAAGAGAACTCAAACTCAAATAATCACTTTATGTTACGTTATAACCAAAATCTGCAGAAGAGCACCTATCTGGTCTACAGCAGCAGAAGACCACACCAGGTGCCATCAGAGAATGGGAAACTTAGGCTACAGTTCACACAGGCTCATCTAAATTTGACCGCAGAAGTTTGGAAAACGTTGCCTGGTTTGATGAGCCTCAATTTCTGCTGCAACATTTGGATGGTAGGGTCAGAATTTGGTATAAACACAATATAAACAAAGCACAGATCTATCTTACCTTTGTAGCCTATCGGCAGTAAGTGCTGCTGGTAGTGTGCAGTGGTGTGCGGGATATGTTCTTGCCAAACTTGGCTCCCTCTTGTGCCAACTGAGCACTAGTTAAAACACCACTACTGACCATATCCATCCTCATTTATAACTACATAGTTATAAATACACAACTGATGGCTCTTCCAGCTCTGAGGGATAACAAGCCTCCAACTATGTAAGGCTGTCATGTAGAAATGAACCAAAATCTGTGAGGAATGTTTCCAGGCTCTTGTTGAGTCTATGCCACAAAGAATTAATGTTTTACATAAGTACTACTTGGTACTAGCAAGGTAAACGCATAAAGTATCTGACAAGTGTACAAATAACTTTTCACACACAGCTGTGTTTATCTTAATCTGTAGAGGTTTACCAAAAAGACAGTAGTGTAGTCGTAGTAGAACAAAAGTCCCACTCCTTACATTTAAAATTTCTCTCCAGCTTCTAATTACAAAACTACTAATCCAATGCTTTAATTGGTGGAGAAATGGCATCTAGTTTAATCTGATTTCATACCGTGTGAAGTCACTGGGCCATCAAAATCGGAAACTCGCTGCCAGCTCTGATACCCTTTGCCTTTGTCTTACCCTCAACGGCACACTCGCGTAGAATATAATTTCAATATACGCACATCATACATTAGTATGAATAATTAACAATAAGGAGGGAGGGGAAAGGGACTGTTGTTTCTCCATAAGTGTTTTTTCTTGCCATTTCCTCCAAGTTATCATCACATTGTTGTGGTACCGTGATGACTATTATTGCTCTGCTGAAAATTGTGATAGTAAAACTCTGCAGATGATGATCGTTCTGTTGCTCTGTTATGAATGTGGCGTACACTGAGTCCTCAGAGGGGAGAGAAACAACTCGACAAGCTGAAATGAAGCAATATCAATCCCTGCCTGAGACCTCTCGGCATTAAAGCATGCACACTGACAGTCTCTTACATTACACCGGAGCAATAATGTAGCTCACTTGTAGCATTTGCTGTCTGATTTAATAAAGTATGTCATTTATTGGTTGTTGCCGATTTGTACCAGCCTCACTGTGTCAGACTTCCACAGATTTTAATGCAGTTATTTTGTATCTTTAAAATGGATTTAGTAAAAATGTTATATGTCCTTTTTTTAATTCTTAAATGTTCCAGGGTAATCAAATTATCTCTGACTGTTGACATTCTCTATTAGAGCAGAACGTAAGTGAAATATAAAACATGTCAATCAAACATGAACAAAAATGTGAATATTTCTTCTTTTTTTTGTACAAAAACAGCACCGCTTCCTCGGTTGACTACAAATTACTTGAGTCTGAGAGTGCAGCACATGGAAACAAACATTTTCCATCTGTACACGATTGTCTGGGTAGTGTTTTTTTTTTTTTTTTTTTTTTTAATAAGGGCAGCCTGGAGAAGATCAGCAGCCATAAACTCTTTAAAAGACATTATCGTCTCTCCACAATTCAGTAATGCAGTTTTGTTGTCATTTCTGGGCTTATTATTAAGAATAAAGGTGTTACAGAGCAGTGGGCTCTGTCCTGAGGTTGCTTTGCTGTTTCTGTAAAGTGAAAAATGACTGCACTTAGTTACAGAACAAACTATAAACTACAAGCTTGTGAGGGGCAGGAACCTTTTTTTCCTATCTATATTAATACAATACTTAAGCACCCATGTGTGCATTTAAAGGCGCTGCTAAATGCCCCCTCTCAGTATGATTCCAGTGTGAGTGATCTGAGACAAAATTCACAGACCTCATCTGACAAAGTGCAGCTGAAGCAAATATGATGCTGAATAAGTCAAAATGGATATTTTCTAAAGTCAGTGTTTTAGAACTGAATTTTCTCTATTTCATTTCCCAGTGAGCTGCAGTGCACAGACAGATACACCAAGAGTTAATTTCATGCTGGAAAAGACAAAAAAAACAACTTTGGTCCCCATTTCAATAGTCAAACTCAGATTTCTGAGCCCCCAAAACTAACTTTGGCTGCAAGGCTTTTTTCTGTCCTTATTTTACAGACAACAAATTGTATACATGTATCGTTATACAGTAAGTGTTTCTCCTGTTCGTATTGGCTGTGAAACGGTGCCTTTGTCCTGTGATAAAAAGAAGCCATTGTTCTGTGTAGGAATGTATTCTTAAGTTCAGCCAAAGCCAAAGTGAGGCTTCAGCATTATGAATTTGCCAGTTGATTTTTTTTTCCCCATGATATTGCTGCATAGCAGATCACATAAAGAAAAGAAAGGAAAAACAAAATTAACAGGTGGCATGGATTAAAAAATTATTTAGATTTGGCTTTTAAATCTGCTGCATTTGGCATTTCCTGTTGTGTCTGGGCAAAATGAATTTTATGTGAAAGACTTTGGGTGCATTTTGTCCACTTACATCACTACTGGTCATTATAATGTTTTAAACTCACTGGCCACATTGTTAGGTACAGCTGTTCAGCTGCTCAGCAACATAAATATCTAATGAACCAATTACATGGCAGCAACCCAGTGCATTAAATGTGATCAAGGTGATCTGCTGAAAATCAAATGGAGGATTAGAACAACGAAGAGAGGTGATTTAAGTGACACTGAATGTATCAAGGTTGTTGGTGTCAGGCTAGGCTGAGTATTTCAGATAATGTTGATCTACTGGGTTTTCCCCACACAACCATCTCTAGCAATTACACAGCGGTCAGGAAATGTTATGAGCTGAAAGGAAGGCAAATACAAACTCGTTACAATCAAGATATGCAGAAGAGCGTCTCTTGAACCTTAAAGCAGATGGGCTATATCTGCAGAAGACCACATTCTGCCCCTCTCCTGTCAGCTAACAGGAAACTGAGGTCTCTGGGTAACAAAGGCAACCATAACTTTATTGGCCACTTGTTAAAACCAAGGTATGCAGAAGAGCATCTCTTTGGGCTACAACAGCAGAAGACCATTCCTGTCAGCTAAAAACAGGAAACAGATGCTGCAGTTCCCACAGCCTCACCAAAATTGGATAGTAGAAGTAGGGTCAGGATTTGTCATAAACAATGATGAAAGCATAAATCCATCCTGTATTGTTTCAGTGATTCAGGTTGGTTGCGAAACAATAGTGCCAGGGTTATTTTGGTACAGCAACTTTATGCCATCATGTCAATATTGACCAAAATCTTTGAGGAATGTTTCTAGCATCTTGCTGAATCGGTGTTGCAAAAAATTAATGCAGTTTTGATTGCAAAATGGGGTCAAACCCAGTACTACCCAGTACTGAGAAGAGTTACTCTTCCATCCTCTTGAAATAATTTGGGGACAGAGGAGCGTGAAGAAAGAAAAGCACAAAATGTTAACATTTTATTTACAAAGTTGTTTTTTTGTCATACAGAAAGTAAAAATGTAGCTACAACCTTGATTTGTGCAACAGGCAGCCACACTAAAAATCATGGCTCGCTGGTTGCACAGCTGCTATAGCAATAATTTTATTGGGAAAAATAAGGAACGGAGAAAAAAAAAAATTAAAAGACAAAAAAGAGAAATAATAAACCCAACAACAAAAATTATTCATCCAACAAAATATTAAAAGCACAGACCCAAAACTAGATACCAGTCCCAAAGTCCTCACACGGGAATACATAAAAAGGGATCGACAGTGAAATTGTGGAATGCTGAGTGGTGGGCTGCCTGAGAACCTCGGGGGCCGTGAGTGGGGTGAGGTGGAGGGTGTTGGGTGGCTCTCAGTTCCATGGGGGGCAGGGGGAGAAAACAGAAAAAAAAAAAAAAAAAAGAGGGGGTGGGGGGCAGCTCCACTCGGCCCACCCATTCGGTACAGTCTAGCCCCATAAAAAGAGCTCAGCGCTGGGGAGGGGGGTAGACGTGGATTACAAAAGCGGTGTGAGTTGTAGGAGGGTGGACGTTCGGGTTTGTGGGGGAGAGGAGGGGTAACTCGGTAGGCTCTCGTTTTCAACCTTAGCTCTTAGTCGTCATCTTCGTCATCGTCCTCGTCGTCCTCATCCTCTGGGTCTCGCTTTCTCTTCTCGCCTTTGCCGGTTTCTGCTTCTGAAGGTAAAGAAGAAAACTGTTGTGACAAGGAGCCAAAACTACACAAATTCTTGCATCTGCAAGCATGAATACAGTAATCCTCCACCCGTTTTAAGTAGCTTCAATCTCTGCATTTATCACACTCTGTGGGAGTCGCTTAATAATGGTCACCATCACGTTGCTGTCCCTACATGTTATAATGGTGTGTGATTACGAGCACAAAATAAAGCGGAAGAAATGCATCTTCAGTCCTCGTGCAAGATTTTGTTTTTAATTAAGTGACTAAAATTCTCACATCACATGTTATTTGGGATTGACTGAGCACTACTGTTATTTTAGTTATAAAGATAAATGTCACTAACAGGTGATCACTAAAGCAGTAATCTCTAAACAGATGCAAAATCAAGACAAGATAGATCTATATTCTGTGTACCAGGTGAAGGGTTCCTACATTGCTGACGGAGTCGTGAAGAACTTTGGGGACTGCCCTACATGGTGTAACAGCTGGTGTTGTATCACTTGACAACTCAAGTCAAGTCATGCATGATTTCTAACAGTTGGGTATGATCTATAAGTTAATAATTTTCCATTGTTTTATACCTTTGTTGCATAAATATCTTGGAGAGGGAGTGTTTGAAAGAGAATTTGTTTTGGCAATTAAAATGGCCCGAAGTGAGTCAGTAAATGATGCTGAATAACTTTCAACATGTATCATCAAAGTGTGTGAAGAGGAGGGTTAATATGGTTAATACTTCCACTTCAAAGAGAAACTTTATGAGTTGGTAAAGTTGGTCACCTGTATGTTGTGTTCAATTCAGTGGCACTTTTCCAAGACATAAGTCTATTTTATTTCCATCTTACAGAACAAAAAAACAACAACAAGTTGTCTCACCCCTGAATTAAGTCTCGGCCTTGAGTTGTGCAGAGATATTGAGAGACTTCGACTGACTCTTGTAGTGATGTTTGAGCCAAAATTGTGAGTAAATTTACTTCAAGAAGTTACATACCATCTTCATCTTCATCCTCATCTTCATCCTCTTCATCTACTTCTCCATCCTGACCAAAGTCTTCCTCCTATGTGAACAACATTTTACACGTTAAAAAAATGAGACTGTGCATCGACCCGCTTTAACGACAGCCCCACCAAGCTCGTTTCACTTTTCACCTCATCTTCACCACTGCCTTCCTCGTCATCCTCCTCTCCTTCTACCTCCTCTTCGTCCTCCTCATCATCCTCTTCCTCATCAAAGTCCTCCTCCTCTCCGTCCTCGTCTTCTTCCTCCTCTCCTTCTGTGACACAAAAGTGAAAAAGAACAATCAGTCGACCGCAAAGTGAGAGCGCACGGAGGCTAATCACAACGATCGCTTTCACATTTTCCCTTTACAGAAATGAGAGAGCGATTGCCGTTACTCAGCCGTGGAGCCGTTTCTAAATAAGCTACTGCGGTGCACGCATTTTTCATAATGAGCGAACATGTCACCAGAGAAATTGCATGAATGACCGAGGAGTCTTTAATTGTTCTTGAACAACAATGGGGCGTTCCAACACAGAGATAAAACCTCATTTACGGTCTGTTCGTTAGATTTGACAACCAAAAAAATACCTGTTCTTATTTTTACTACAGCAGAGACGGGAAAGCACAACTTCATACCTTCATCTTCATCATCGTCTACACCGTCTCCGTCCACCTCTCCATCAGAGTCTGAGGCTTCCCTGTCCTCCATGTCATAACCATCCAGGTAGGTGAGCTGGGGCAGCAGCTTGAACACGCTCTCTCTGTAGTCGTTCAGGTTTGTCACTTCACAGTTGAACAGGTCCAAACTCTTCAGGTTGTCCAGCTTTTTCTGTTGGCAAGAAGAGAAGAAAAATGCTGTGATGTGACTCTGTCGCTGAAATGTGGTAGTAATGGTACTAGGCTCCAGTTTACGTGTGACAATGAGATATAATGTGAAACGACAGAGATCCGTCTGTCTGAAGTTTGAGAGACCATTAATTACTGAATGGGTTATCCCTTAAAATACCTCTGGCCATGAGTGGAGTGATCAAAACAAAGCTGCTGAAATCTCACTTCCCAATATAAATCCTAATGTTTTGGTTTGATTATGATGAACACTGCATTAGCTGGTTTACTCTTTGTGAAGTGTGTAGCATGTAAATGACCCCCAAAACACATGTGAACACATACCAATGGTTCCAATGTGCTGATGTCTTTCAATTTGTTGCCACTCAGGTTTAGATGTGTGAGGTTGGGTAGTTTTTCTGCTAAAACATCAAGCCCGCCGCTGATCCTGTTGTCGCTCAACTCCAGCTGAATGAATGACAGTAAAAAGAGAGATTAGTCCAGATGGTTCTTTGCACATTTTATTTCCCCCCCTCCTTTCTTTTTTGTCATGAATATATGAGAGTGAATAATCACTCCTGCTTACCTTTTTCAGTTTTCCTAGTTTGGGCAGATTAGAGACTGAGATTAAGCCGACGTTTATCAAACTGAGGAACTCCAGGTTGACAAATTCAGCTGTGAGACCTTCGATTTTTCCTTCAACTGATCGACAATTGTCCAGGACAAGTTCTCGTACCTGAAATTGAAAAAAACAACAACAAACAAATAGTATTATTTTAAAATTACCTGTACTTTTTAATGCATTTGCGAGTACTACAACTACTTGCAAAACTTTTATAACTTAAGTGTATTTTAAAACAGACCAAATGTTAAATATTCCAAAATATATTTTACAAATATTATTTTTTATTTTCCAAACAAAATAATTAAGAAAGGCGTTCGGGGAACATAGCAACCCTAACGTATTAATAATCAGTGGGTGGTGGTGTTTGTAAAATGGCCCTTCACTTTGTGTAAAATGATTACAGGCGTTTTATAGTTGCTTAAAATATTAGAAAAAACAACTCTGAAGGCGGAGTTACTTTGACTCCGTTAAAGCTCACACTGGTTGCGCAAGTCATTGTTAAACGTTACCAAAAAAGTTATTGTCAAGCGTCAAAGACAGCCGTTTCTCGATTAAAAACACCAAAATGGACACTCAGTCTCTATCTAAAAACACTTTGCTATCACTGTGTGCTTCGTTTAACCGACCGCTACAGGTCGTCTATTGATTTCTTTGAAACGAGGAAGAGCAAAGCAGCGGCTTCCTATGGCCTGCTGATGCAGTCACTAATGACAAATGCAATGATTTTGTGAGCTAGCTCGCTACAGGCTAGCCATTGCCCCTTTTAAACGCTGCCGTGCCGTAGAGGAGCAGCTAGAGAGGTCTGTCTGCCCGCCATTAGCCAGCCCAACAGCAACGGAAAGGATTGCGAATACACCCTTAGTAAAGCGATTCTTTTTTTCTTTCGTTAAACCAGCTTTCATGGGGGAAGTGGAATATTCCTTGTCGTCGAGCGAACGACCGATATTGGCAGTTTGTTAGAGGGTACAGCATCGCTTTCAGGTCGAAGTGGCGAAGGAAATATATTGAGAACGGAAATTTAGTAAAAAACAAAGATGGAGACAGTTCCTTTCTCCCAGAGCTTCAAAGACGACAGAATGACAACATGGCGATTCCTGAGCTACAGTATGCAGTCCTCTGAACGCTTCAATGGCGGAAAGTGCTATTAAGAATGAGCAATAAGCGTTATTTACATATAACCGAAAGTGTTTTTTCGGTGTTAAATTGATTTTATTTCGTGCATGATACGAGGGAGAACGCCGAGCGGGGAGCTTTTGGCTGCCCACGCATGAAGCGCGGTGCGCCGGATCTCCGTGTCATTCGAGCAGCCTGGCTCGGTCAATGAAGCCGCTGGCCAACACATGCATCTGTGTAGTAGCAAGCGCCAAGTTTAGCAATAGTAACGATTACTGGAGCACATTGTAGTCGTGTTTGGTGTTTTTACTTTACAACTGGATAGATTTTGTTGTCTTTGACCGGTAGCGAGAAGGGGGTAATATGGCGGGAACCTAATACCAAGTTAGCTGGCTGGTAGTCTGAATGGTTCTGAAACCCCGGACCATCAGGCTTCATTCAATAAGCATGCGATTCTTCTTCGTCGTCGTCTTTAAGACGATGCACGGATGATAAGTGATACTATAGCTTGGTGCACAACTAGAGAAGAATTAATGAGGGAATTAATGGATGTACACTCCCTTTAAAAACTTACAGATTGCAACGTGTCTTTAAACAAATCAGCACCAACAGCAGCGGTTGGCTGTTTGTTGAGTGTCTCCCGGCTCTAAGGTTTTGGAGTTGCGGTGTATTTTCACCATTAGCGGTTTAAGGTACGGATGACTCGTGAACCAAGTGTTTTTTGTTGTCGCTGCCTGAATCTTTGTGGCCGTTTGATGTAAACGTATACTCCACAGAAATGTGAACATACGACTCGTGATCTGCGACGGCCCGTTTAACGTTTACAAAACTCGTTTGTTGTTCAGCACCAGAGTTTAAAGTCATTTTGCAATTATTACACAAAAAAGCTCCCCGTTTTTTAAGCAGTTATGCTAGCAGCAAACATGGCTTCCAAGGTCTGTATAAAATATACAGCTCTGTGAATGCCGAACGCGGCGCAGGAAACTGCTTTCTCCTCATATCGGCGCAAAAAGAAGTTTACTAATTGTGCTACAACGGTGGAGTGGAGCTGAATCGTGTGTGTGCACCATTGACCAGGGAGGCTGCGAAACGGTTAAAGCACTGCAATAATGCCAGCAAGCTGGGGGGAATCGCCGTTTCAAAGTAACGACTGAATATAGCTTTTCTCGTCTCGTTGCCCCTATACGCCCAATCCTAACCAGCATAAAGGCTCTGGCTTGTTATGCGACTGTTTTCCGCCCCGTTATAAATGAGAAACACAATCTAAAGCCCATGTGGTCACCATTACGTTAGCCACACAGGGTCACTCGCAAAGCAAAAAAAGTAGCAAGCTAGGCTAGCAGGGGCTAGCCTGAAAACTAAGGGTTGGTTTTAAAAAAAAGCACGACTCACATCAGACGGTGTCCTGTTTCTTAGCTCCAAGTGGATCCTCTTTTTCATGTCCATTTTGCCCTATGAAAGTTAAACTTTTCTCCTCGGGGTTTTGCTGGGATCTTCAGTCCAAAGGCAGAGATGCCCTAATGGAGGGAGAATATAGGACTGTATAATGAACTGAGCCAAACGCTAAGTTAGTCGGAGAGAGGGGAAACCATGGAGGGAAACGGGACTGAAACAAAATATATGCTCAACAGCGCCATCTGCGTCCAGATACGCCCATCGCCTCTGAAAAAAAGGCATTGCAGTCACAAAACATGACGCTGCCCCGAAACGGTGCTATGGTGCAATTTATTTTGTGCAAGGAAATTACTGTAGTGTCGTTCAGTGAAGACGGTGGGGTTTTTCTTTGAGAAGTCGGTTTTATTCAGCGAAGGATGTGCACGAACAGACGCGTGTAGCGTATGCAAAACAAATAAGCAACCAAGCAATTAAACGGCGATAAAGTAGGTCACATGGGGAACTTTGTTATTCTTCATTTAAAAGTGTCACAGGAAATCTCGAATGCATTACTGCTTTATAGTCAACAGACAAGCAGTGTAATTATGAGGTAACCATCATAATGTATGCCTATTTAAAAAAAATGTATATGTATGTGTTGGGTCTTGTGAATGTGTGATACTTTTTTACATTGTAATAAAAAAAAAGAAAAATAAACAAAATTGTGTTGTTTCTTGGCTACTAAATGGCTCATCCCTACCCCCAACCGCTAAAAAGTAGGGCTATATGTGGTTTGCCTTAAAGAGAGCATTGTATATACACATATGGAGGGGTAGGGCACCCCACACAACCCCTCCTCTTTACTTCCTGACACTCTCCAGCGTTTTAGTAGAAAATCTACTATGGTTGTATTTTTTTCTGTTTTATTCTAAATTAATCAGTGAATAAGCTTTAATACTATAAATGCATATCAAATTATAGCCTGCTTTAAGTCTAGTAAATATAACAAATGTATAAATGTTAGCAAGATGTGTTTGCATAGTGTGCTGAGGGCAACCAATGCAAATACCCCAACTCTGGCCACATGCATGTTAAAGGCACAGTGTATATATACACACAGACACTGTTTTTAAATCAGTGTTTGGTAGTTGAGAAGCAATGCCAGAAGATGGCACTGTAATATCTACACTGACATTCCTCACATTTCATTGTGCAACAGTGGGGCTGTGTGTGAATGACAGCCCTGTCTGCTTTTGGCTGTAACAGTAATGCTGGAGGGGGTTTATTAATGTGTCAGTTGGAGTTTTATTAGCTGAGGAGCTAACTATGTGCAGTTTGGGATCTTTTGAACTGCTTGAACTATGCTGGAAGGTTTGGTTGATTGTGTTTTGTGATTTTAATTCGAGTGTGTGAAAACCAGTACTTAAACATATATGTTTTCACTCACTTCTTAGCACTCATAGCTTCCACCGGTGCAGAATGTCTGTGTATAGATTCTCTTCATATGATGTTGAAAAGTGAGTGCAGTACGAGCACCTTCATGCAGAAATCAGTACATTTAGAAAGAGAGCTTTCAACATTTCCCCCCACAGTGCTGGGAGCAATTGGCAGTTGAGTGTTATTTACTCTACTGGATAGCTCTTTTCTCCCTCTCTCTCTCTCTCTCTGAGTGTCTCAAACACACACACACACATCAGGGCTCAATGTGTTGTTAGAAGATTACAAACACAACCCAACCGAGCAACTTGCCATCTGAGCGATAAGATGGGTATATGCCCCAACTGTGGACGAAGACAGGAATTTTGTTTGGTCTGTAGTGTGGTTTACCTACTAAAAAGGCATGTTTCTTATGATTTGTGGATTAATATTATGAATTTTCTACAGAAATATTATGAACTTTTGTGTTTTTTCTCATATTTTTCTCATCATATTCAAAACTTAATAACTTCACATGTATTGAACCCTAATTGAGAAACTGTCCAAAAATCAGCCAAAGTCTTGCTCTTATTAAGCTACAGCAGTGCCTTTAGATCAGCTGCTGAAGAGCTCTAGTACAACAAATTTGTTAACACACACACACACACACACACACACACACACACACAACTTGCTGTTGTCTTCCCCGCTCTGTCTGTCAGTTTTGTGCCAACTCCTCCAGCTTTACAAATATGATAAGACCAAAGCTGCAAGAACTCTCCCTGCACTGTGGTAATGGTTAACCAGATAATTCGTCTAGGGGTGGGAATAGAAAACTGTCAGAAGTTATTCTGTCGTCTTTTTTGCGCTTGCCCGCCTTCAATGAGTTGAATTCATTCATAGCAGGACTCAGAATGGAGGACATGTCGCAACAAGAGAAACAAGAGTTGGAATATAAAAATCCAAATGAGGAGGAAGGTAGGTTTTCTTTAAAGATTAATCTCTTCTTTGGAAATTGTCTGCTCGAGCATTTCCACACCAAAATGCTGAAGGAGCTGGTTATGTCTTTGCATACACTGAGATCCTGTTGGTTAACTCAGATACAGACCTTTGATCAACATTTAGGTAATATCACAAATCTGTCTGTTTTCAAAGTTTGCCAGTGTGTAGCAAGGAGAAGAAAGTCTACATTGTCATGAGTCAAGCACATTACCCAGTCATGCAGTTTGTCTTTGAATTTCTAATGCACCATATGAAAATGATTTCTGTGCACGGCTCTTTGTTGCAAAGGTGGGATCCGTCGCCGATTGCGAGACAGGGACCTTCTCAGGAAGAGAAAGGCCGAAGCAGAAGAGAAGGAAACTAACCAGTGGGTTTTTGGGTAAATTTGTAGTAAAAGCACAGACAGTGTTAGCGCTGCTGCCTATGTTTACCTCTATGCTCTTGGAGAAATCTACAAATTTCAGCACTTAAGTGCAGTAGAAGAAAGTGGTGGTCCTAGCCAGAAAAGTTTAGTAGCCTGCGTTGAAACACTGTACAGTATAGTACATGCTGAAAACACTATCAGCACTCTGGCTGCTTATCACTCCTCTGGTTTATATTGAATATGGAGCAAGAGGAAAGCAAAGGTTGCGCTGCTTTTTCTATTGATGCCACAGATCTGGGTCAAGGACTTTGTACTATTAGCTTTGCAAAACTGTCACAAAGAGCTGTATCAATGTCCACTGTTGTTTAAGTTAATTGCGGTGATCTCTCAGGGTGGAGAGCCAACGGAAAAGATCAAGAGCTGAGGACAAGAGCGGTGCAAAGAAGAGAGGGAGGCCCAGGAAGACTGAACCCACACCGCAGCTGTCTGCTGTTCAGGAAGAAGTTGAAGCACTTCAGGAAACTCCTGCAGTCGTGGTGGTACCTGAACCCGCTGTGGTCATTCAGGACCAAATAACCGGTTCTCTGCCTCCACTGTTTGGGCTGGAATCACAACCAGCTTCAGTCCTTGCTGCTCCTGCAGCAGTGTTCGAGTTTGTGCAGAATTCTGCTCCTGCTCCGACTCTGGTTTTTGGTGCTCCAGTTCCTGTCCAAGATTCAGCTCCTGCTCCAAATGCTGTCTTAGTCCCAGCTCAGTCCCTAGACTCTGTTCCAGCTGTAACTCCTGCTCCTCCCTCAGCTCCTCCCCAAGTGGAGACCCTCTATACAGAGTCACAAGGCAAGGAGGCCCCAGGCCAGGTCCTGATTGAGGACTTAGGCCCAGATGAGGAGGAGGACGTCTCTCCATCACAAGGCAACAAACGCGCCAATGAAGGTCTGTATGTTGTAAAAATACACTAAAACAATACTTTGAAACATTGTCTGATTCGAAAGGTTTAATAATTATTAAATTATCTGTCTTTTTTTTAATTTATTTTTTAGATTTGAGTGAAACACTTTCGATCAACGTGCCTGAACAAAATAACGTGTACTCAGTCCCAACTGTCTCCACTCAGCCTATGGCTCAGGAATATTTTCCAGGAAATTAATTGCAACTTTTTTTCTGAAATGCACTCTTAAGATATTGCTTTATATATACACAAAGCCTCGTCATAGTTTGTTTCTGAGTATTTTTCTCTTTTTTTGTGTAGTGTGCACACACAGGATGAGGCAAGTCATTGCTTATTTGAAAGATGTATAAATTCAAACCAAAGCTGTATGCTTATTTATTTTGGTTGTGCTTCATTGCAAAGCTTATGATCTTTTTTATATATATATATATATATATATATATACACACACACACACTTTCAATTTAGTATGCAACCAGTTTCACTGGCCTTTATTTAAAAGTTAAGGGTATAAATCGCTGGTAATTATGTATTCATAATTGTGGATTTATTTTTACAGAATTTTGTAAAAGTTACTATTCGCCTAATAAAAGTCACTTCTGCATCATTTAACAGTAGTCGTTATTATAGGAGTCATCGACTGAGAAAGACATCCACATGCAAATGAGAAATACATGAGTGATATGAATTAGAATTAACTCGATTTTCATTAAATGAAATAGCTATGTACCATTTTGTTCACATGACATCTCTCCTCTCTGGTGAGTGAAATTAAATGTTTGGTCTACAGTTTGAACAGCATATCTGTAGATTTAATCTGTGGCTTATCTGTTGAGACACGTGTAGTGAAACATTTAGCCCTATCTGCTAGTGGCTACTGGTAGTGCTTATAATTTACTCATTTGTACTACATAAAGAGATGGAAAAAGTACTTGTAAAAGCTGTAATAACTGATTAATTAGCGAAATGACAGAAAAAGTCGAAAGATGCGCTACTGGATTGAATGACTATGGAGGCCATTTGAGTAAATGGAGCTCACTGTGTTGTTCAATAAACCAGGTTGAGATGATCTGAGCTAGGGATGCACCAATACCGATACTGGTATCGGGGCCGATACTGTAAATTGTGTGTGTACTCATACTAGTTAACCGATACTAAATTATTTCATTAATCAGAGGGTGGCTTGTCACTTTTGTTGTAGTTTTTAGATTGGCCAGTAGGGGGACATCCCGCGCTAAACAGGCACAGGGTTAGAGAGTCAGACTGGCAGCTCCAGAAAAAAAACGAAAAAAAAAACTGGAGGCTGCTGGAGCTAGGCTAAACAAAATGTCAGCAGTGTGGACCGGAACAGCCAACTTTAACTCAGGTTTTGGAAAAGCGATGAAAAATGTCAAGAGGAAATCCACGGGCAGTTTAAATAACAGAGGCTCTGACTCATTTTATCGCTCTGGATGACCAGCCAATGCCAGTCGTGGAAAACAGGATTCTTCTCAGCATACTCAAGCTGCCATATGA